GACAGAAAAATCCAATACACAATAGGAGACGAGAAAAAAGAGTACAGGGTGGAAGCAGGAGTCCTGCAAGGCTCAGTGATCGGCCCATGCCTTTGGAACGTAATGTACAATGGCCTGTTGAAACAAAACTACCAGAAGGCGTCGAAATAATAGCGTTTGCCGACGATGTGGCAGTAGTCGCAACAGAGTGGCATAAAAACTTCTTGGAGGAGAAACTGGAGATGGAATTCGGAATAGTCAAGGAATGGATGCAGAAGAACGGACTTACATTGGCAGAACACAAGACAGAGGCAATATATTTACTGCACGATATACGCAGAAAAACATAAATGTTAAKTGCGGTAACACGACGGTGAGCTCGAGCAATAAGATCAAATACCTGGGCTTAACGTTTGACCCAAAGCTCACATTCAAAGAACATGCAGAACAAACAGCAAAGAAGACCGCGGTTATAACAAGACAGCTAGGATACATTCTACCTAATATAGGTGGAGTTGGACAGAAAAGAAGAAAGCTTCTATCGTGTGTAGTGACTTCGAAGCTCCTAYACGGGGCACCTTGCTGGGCAGAGATAATGACGACTATGGCATGGAAGAAGTTAGAAACAGTGTACCGGAGAATGTCCATTGGAACAGTATGTAGCWATAGAACAGTATCYCATGAGGCCATTGCGGTTGTGTCTTCACTGACGCCTCTAAAGGCCCTGGCTAAATACCGAGCAAACAAATACGACAGGAAGGACAGAACGCAGAGCGAAAAAGACGTCTGGATTGAATGGCAAGAAAGCTGGAGTAACGCCACTAACGGAGGTGGACCTACAGGCTGATACCAAACGTCCATCAATGGGTGAGTAGGAAACATGGCGAAGTCAAATACCACCTAGCCCAGTTTCTAACAGGACATGGGGCTTTTGGCGAGTACCTTTATAGATTCCGGYGAAGAAATACAGACAAATGTCAACTTTGTGGATTATCCCCCGATACGCCCGAGCATGCCTTCTTCGAGTGCGACGCATGGGAGAGACAAAGACAGGAACTGGTGGTGTACGTTGGCGAACAAATCACGGTAGAATACATCGTGAAATTAATGATGCAGAACAAGGAAACTTGGACGAGAATAGAGGATGCAGTAACGAAAATTCTCAAAACCAGAGAGGAAGTGGAAAGGGAAGAAGAAAGAAGAAACATAAATTAGTTAAGTTAATTATATGTGGGCTGAAAGACAAATCAGGGGGGTTAGAGGCCCTCTACCAAATTTACACCCGCAACGCGGGTTATATGTGTAAATTGTGTTACTTTGTACAAAGTTTCTATCTCCACAATAAATGATGAGGCATGGGAGGCAGTAATGCTTAAGCGATACCCTTCCATGTCTTGATTATAAAAAAAAAAAGGTAACCTGACGTGGGCCCCTACACTCAAGTACAATCGGCGTCGCCTCAATGTTCAATGTTCTGAACGCAGTTCAGCGAAGAGTCGCCATCGGCAGGGTGAGTGCGTACCGGACCGTGTCCTACGATGCTGTGACGGTCGTCGCCGGCGTCATTCCCATCGACCCGATGGACTCATTGACCCGATGGCCATGGAACGGTTCGTGGCGTTCGGGGTCATAAGGGTGGCAACGTCAACGGGAACAGACGACGGGGGCCCCTCCCACCGGTTGAACTAGAGCCGCTATCAGACCTAACCTAACCTCGGGTCCTGAGGGATCGGATACTGGCCAAGTGGGTTAGAACAGCGTTTCTCAACCTTTTTTCATTTACGTACCCCTTGACTTCTCACCACTGCTTTACGTACCCCCAAATGTCAATTTATTATTTATTCACACACAACACAAATATGATATTATGAAATAAGTTCGATGATGGACAATTTCAAAATAATATTTATTAATTAATTTAATTAGCCATACAATGTACGTATATATACATAAAAGTAATATAAACTTTACAATTTAATTTTAATGAGACCCTTGGGCTTGTTTGCTGGCACATAATTTTTTGAAATCTGGCTCCTCGGATGATAAGTAAACTCGTAAATCTGAACTCACAGAGAGTCTATTACGATACTTATTTTTAATGTACGTGTATGACGAAAAGGCCCTCTCCACCAATACAGTAGGTACTCGTGAACGGCAGCAGAACATTAAATGCTTTGTTTGAAAGCTCAGGATACTCTTCTTTTACGTCAGCCCAAAAAGCGATGAGAGATTTTTTTCAAATATTACCTCAAGTGAAGAATTCGTCTTCAGTTCAATAAGTTTTTCTTTTTCTCGTACTGATAAAACTGCAGATTCGAAATATTTTTTACTGAAAGGGAATGCTATCCAGTGGTCTCCTTTTTCACATTTTGGGAAGTATTTATTAAAAGCCACCTTGAGTCCATTCAAATGTTTAACAACTTGGACTTTGATATCTTGCGATAGGTTTATATCAGTTATGATTGCTATTGTATTGAACAACGTTACGTAACCCGATAAGATAAAATCCAGCGTCTAGCTGTACCACATTATTAAATATTTAACAAATTACAAACCATTTAAAACACACCAATTGTAATTTTTTCCGCCATTACGCTTTTTTTTTCACGTACCCCCTCATACCTTCTTACGTACGCGTACCACAGGTTGAGAAACGCTGGGTTAGAAGGTTGCGGAGTGCGAACCCTCCCGCGGACAGTGGACGCGAGTGGACCAGATACAAGCTGTTTAAGGACTTGGTTGCTGAGGTCATCGCTGCCCCAAACACAAAGCGAGAAATAAAGGCACTCATTACACAGCTGGCGAACAGCGTAAACGGGCTGGTTCAATGGGGAAGACTTAYGGGTAAAGTAAGCGTCCCTACTACTAACAGGGGCAACCAAATGGACGTTGATAAAGACATGGAGCGAGTAGAGAGGAAAACTATAGGGGCACAGGTAGGTAATTTGAGTCCCAGGGAAAAACGATTTATATGCATTTAAAATTTAAAAATATGCTCTATAAAATTTTTATTTGTGATTTGTAGACATTAATTGACTGCATGTATATGATTTTGAATATAGCAACATGCATTTTTATTAATTATATAATTATTTTTTATGCAATAAAAAATCATATACATGCAGTCAATGAATGTCCACAAATAAAAATTTTATAGTGCAAATTTTTAAATTTTAAATGCAATAAATCGTTTTTCCCTGGGACTCAAATTACCTACTGTCTTATTTTTTACGGGACTCACTTACCTACTACCTACTTTTCCCCGGGACTCAATTTCGGTGAACCACGATTGCGCCCGGCTTACCTTTTTCCATTCAAAAAACGCAATACGATTGCGCTCGACCAATTAGCAATATTGCGCCCGTCTATAACCTTTTTTACCTGCATAAAACGCAACACGATTGCGCTCTAATATATATATATGTGTTTGTCCCGTATAT